TCTGACTCTTGGTAACGAGATGCAGGCGGCAGAGCCTGCGGGCTCGGTCTGGGCCCCAAGGCGCGAGATCCGCTCCGGGAGGGGAAGGGACTGGCCGTGTCGGAGCTTGACGCGGGCGTTTCTTGCAGGGAAACCAACCTGAAAGGGAAGGAGGCGCTGACGGTCACGGCGGAGCTGGGGGAGGACCTTCAGAAACTGAGCGATTTCAATGGTGAGTGCCCAGAACCAGGGAGTGTTCCCCAGCATGTCCCCGAGGGCTCCAATTCCCCTCCAAGCCGCTCGGCCGGCAGCATCTGGCCCGGCAGCCACGGTGTAGGCCAGACCTCCTGACTGCGATGGGTGGGCAGCCGGCGCTGAGCCCTGCACTGCGGGCTGAAGTGGAAATAAGCTACAACCCTGAGCTGCACCAATGGCGTAGCTTATTTTGGAATGGGGAGCGGCTACGCAGCACGTATTTCAAAGTAGAGCGCTCTTCCTCCACCGTCCCTCCCTCCTCGTACAGGAGTCGGAGTAAGCAGTCCTCCAGCTTGGCAGCATTTTGACGTTATTTCGAAAGAACTGCCGGCTGTGCAGACGCAGACCGTCGTTTCAGAATAACACTAGTTATTTCGAAATAACGTTGCTGGGTCCGTATCCTGAGGGCACGTCTACACTGCCCTATTCCCGAAATAGCGTATTCTGTATCTTATCAGCACGCCCGTTATTTCGAAAGCTATTTTGAAACTAGCCAATTAGCCCGTCATAAAACGGGATTTTCAGGTCTCTCCTCCATGTCGGTCTTCTCTCCTCAGCCGCCGGTCTCTCTCTCTCCTCCTCCTCCTCCCACTGCCTCTCTCTCTGTCTCTCTCTCTGTCCTTCCCCTCCTGCCTCCCTTCACCTCCCGCCGTGGCACTCGGCTGACTTCTGCGCCGCTCAGCCAGGCCGCCGCGGGGGAGCAAGCTGCCGTTTGGTGCACTATTCCAACATCCTGTAAACCTTGTTCCACAAGGATTAAGGGGCATTTTGGGACAGAGGTTTATTTTGAAATTTGGCATTGTGTAGACAGCACCAAATTACAAAATAAGCTATTTCGAAATACACTCAAAATAAGCTACGCAATGTGCGTAGCTCAAATTGCGCAGGCTATTTTGAGCTACAGATGCAGTGTTGCTGCACCCTCTGTGTCTGTCGACGCTGGCCAAGACCCCATCGCATGCTCCCTGTCAGGCACCTGCAACCCGCCCCCTGAGAACCAAACCAGGCAGCCCCAG